TTGGAGTTGTGTCCACTGCAAGAGTGGGATGAAACAAAAAAAATGAACAATAACGCGCAAACTTAAGTTTGAGTGCTCAAGAGAGAGGTAAGAGGCGAGCAAACGGTTCGACGCGCGCAAAGTGGAGGGCAAAGGAAGAGAGGGGGTGGAGGAAGCTGCGCCGGTAAACTTTGGGCTCCCTCCCCGGCTGGCTTAAACTAATTTTGCTCGGATGTAAAATCAAGAGAGCCGAGTGCGATTATACCGCAATTTTATAAAATCGCTCCTTCACGGCCTTGGAATAGAGCTGTCACGGGCTCCGGAAAGAGAAAAAAAAAAAAAAATTTGTCTCTACGCGTAGAGAGAGTCAGGCGATGTGCACGTCTGTATACACGTGTATAGCCTTTGTCCGGCGCGGATGAATCACCCACGTGATCCTCTGGATCGGCGGTGCAGTGTATGGGTTATATACACGCAGGCCCGTGTGTTCCGATGCGCGACATCGATTAGTCAGCGACGCGATGATTTCGTTGTCTCTTTTGTCTTTTTTTTTCTGTTTCATCGCAAAAAAAGTGACGAGCTCGCTTTTTTTTTGTTGGTACTGTTGAGCGCGTTTTATTTGGCCGAAACAATCAAACTACAACGTATAGGTGATTTTATCTACAATTTTTGGAGGTCGAAATGATAAGGTTATAGTTTTAGCCGTACCAGCATCGTAAGTTGAGAAATCAGAGTCCAAGGTTTTGATTCACTTGTTTCGCGTCGTTACAGATCGTAATCTTTTTTTTTTTTTTTTTTTTCATCACAAAGAAAAAAACCTTTTTTGAAAACACATAAAGACTTTCAGTACAAAAGCATTTGTCGCAGTGAAGTGAAACCCCATGCACTTGCACGAAGACCGAGTTCATCGCACGGAGCTCTCCTTCTCGCTTTAAAATGTTTAATTTTTTTCCCCCACATCCACGTAGCACGAGACCATTTTCCGTCGAGCCAAAATTTTTTAAATTAAAATCTTTTCACTCGCTTGGCTTCTTCCACCTCGTCTATGGCATACAAAGTTTCGCGGAGAAAAGCTCGAGGCGCACCGCGCAAAACTCACAAACTCCTCCCATGCCGGGCGCAAAGCAAAAAATTAATTAAAACAAAAACAGCGACGTACAATCTTTGAAGGGCGATTACTTTGTCCATTGAAAATATGGTATATCGGAGCAACCCCTTATTTTCTTTTATAAAAATACCTCCTAATAAGTCTAAGGCTCACGTAGATACACCACGTGAAACATAAAAGCTCGCAAAGCTTTTTACCAACCCCTCGGCTTGTTGTGATTTGTAGGAAAAAAAAAAAAAAAAAAAAAAAACGACATCAACACTTCATTGCGAGTAATCAGAATCGCTACAGTTTGCTTACCGACTCGCAAGACACCACGGAGCCTTCCAAGCCAGGCGGGGAAAAGCCCGAAAATTCCCGCGTGCAGCTGGATTTTGAAAGTTCGCGGGTGCGCGCACACCTCCTAAGAAGTTAATCAAGTAAGCCTCCTCGCCGTAGCGTGCACCGACTATGTACACACGTGTACGACAATTATACGCGGCGCAGGGAGTACGTATAGAGAGTTGGGCACCGAGACAATGGGATTCCGTGGGCTTTTGACTCCTCGAGGGGCTCTCTCTCTCCTTCTTTCCCCTTCATCGCTGCTTGCACTGCAAGCCACGGGGGTGCACGACAACGTACAGGTAGTAGTAGCACTCGCTTCTGAGCGAGCACCTGTGCGAGAGAAACATTTTTCCCATTCCCCTACCTTCACTTTGTTTAATTAGCGAATTTAATTAGGAGCTTTTCCTCGGCAGCTGTGCATGGGCGCAGAAGCGGAAGAGCACACGTGAATGGGTACCGCGCCCATGACTTTGGCGAGCTTTTCGAATATTTTAAATGACTCTCGAGTGCTCAATGACGCTCTTTCGCAGAGAGCGACGGGTGAAACCCGAGGCCGACCTCGTGAATGGGCAATGACACATGTGTGGGAAGACACTTTGCGCGGGAGTGACGAGGGTGTCGACCATTTTTTTTCTCTCTCTTTTTTTTTTACAAGGATAATTTTGAAAAAAACGTAAATTTGGGTGCAACAATAAATGTGCATGAATGATTAACTTGGTTGGTCAAAAGCGTTTAGTCGGATCAGCCGGTGACAATATTAATCCCCCCGTGACTCTCGTGTGTGTATACAAGTGACGCACGACGACCGAGCTTATCCGAGCCGAGTAATTTTATCGGCAGCGCTTTTTTTGCAGGTGACTTTTCAAAAGGAAATCCTTTTTAATTACTCACAATTAGCTCTGCACTCGAAAAAGAATAATAAGTCCCCGCTTGGCGTATCCGCAAACTTATGGTATTATTCGGACGCACGGACAATGTCAGGAGACACGGGACAGGAGTCAGGAGCCAAGGTCTCCTTCCCGCTTCGGCGAGTCTGCCGCTAATAATCGACATGGTCGCGTTTTGGATACTTTTTTTTTTACTCTCGAAATTCTCCGAAGGACACGCCATTGCGCAGATTTTACTGACTCGTACGTCTCTTGTGATCCGAGTGTTGTCTGCGAAACAAACGCTCCCCTCGGCCGCTGGCAGTCATCTATACGTTTGAAATCCCTTGCCCCGCGCACCCGAGTTTCAACTGAATGAACGCACACCAACCGCGAAAATCACTCTCCACGACCGAGCCTCTCTCTCTCGCCCTCCCGCGCGTCGGTAGAAATTTCGTATGAATGAAGGGGTGTCTTTCGCTCCCCTGGGCCGTGCACGATGACGCCGCGCACGTGATGACTCCCCTTCTCGTGTACACATACACAAGTGGATGGATGTACATCGGTTTCCCCCCCCCCCCCTAGTCCAGTACAGCTGGCCGAGTGACCGACGGACTTTTTGTGGATTTCGCTTGCGCGTGTTTTTTTTTTTTCTCCATGGATGGATGAATGATGACGGTCACCCCTTCCCTGCCTTTTTTTTTTGCTGATGGCTCGATGAATGGCTCCGTGCGCGTGTGTGTATGCTAAATCGCGCGACCTTGGGGCCGATTCGCTCGAGAGATCGTCGGGTTGAAAATGTGAGCTCGGCCTCGCTTGGCTTTTACTACTGATTGCTTCGCGATTTTTTTTTCCTCTTTTCATACGGTTTCAATGATTTTTTTTTTTATACACAAGTGCTTGGATGGACGTTCGACGGCTGAAAATGAACGGGGGCTCGTTTGAGGGGATTTGTTTCGCGAATGATTGATTGTCGATGGATTGAGCTTTTAGTAGTAAGAGACTGTTTCGCCAGACGCGGGCAATGTGATGCAAGTCCAAGAATCTCGGCCTTTTTTTTTATCATTAAAAGAAAGAATTCATTTTGTGCTGAAATAGAACTAGCTCCTTACTAAAAATTATCTTTACTTGGCTGACCCTACAGTAAAAACAACTGCACACGTTTAGTATCCCCTGTATCGACAAGAGGTTTTGTCTTACACTTGTAATCATTCGATTACATCCCGCCATCCTCTGATCAGAGCAAAAAATATGAAATAAGTAACGCAGCACCAACTAGAGCTTAAAAACGAAACTCCGCAATTCAACATCCCAAATCGATCGTCACCCTGCCTTCTTTTTCCCTCGTTCGAGACGCCTGCGGCAACAATATATATATATATTTTTTTTTCGCTCTTCTCCTTAACATGTCCGACTGTCAGTGTATAGCTACATCGATGAGTATGAAAAAAAAAAAAAAAAAAAACAGCGAGCGATTTGCGTGCGTAGGTACTTGCACGAGAACATGTACGAGACTCGCTCGACTCGCAATTTTTCAAGCCAACGGCGACGATAGTGACGCGAGAGAGAGAGAGAGAGAGAGAGAGAACCAACATCGACGCCGTCGCCACCAGTTATTTTTAGCACTTTTTAGTGTCAATTTGATGATGTACGGCTTGTAACTCAAGCCTTAACGACGCCGAAGGCTTTTCGTGTGTACCCACGTACGTGCAATACATGTATACGTGCAAGTTTTTTTTAATTACACAGTTAGCGAGACATGATGCGCGTTACAGATGCTTTTACGTAATAGTTTTGACTTGACTTTTTTTTTCTCCTCCCGGCGCACACGTCGTTCTCGGCGACGACAATCAACACCGAAATTCATCATCGCAGCGTCCTAGGATCGACAAAACAATCGAAGGCAGGGATGGAAAAAAAAAAAATTCCGCTTTTTATCGGACCCATAGCCCACCCAAAGGCCGTCGTCGCCGGTTTTAATTCGTCGTTCCGAGAATCGGCGCTCGCGAAGGAGAAACTACAACCAACTGGAACAGAAATTTAAAACGCCGAGCCGCGCGTAAATTGAACGTAGCCACCACCGTCGCGCGACACAGAGACAATGGCGCCCGGAGTGTAGCCGTTGTAGCACGCGGCGCAGTTGGCGAGACCCAACGGGGTGATAAGCTTCTGGAGAGCACGTGGAGGCAACCAATGTCGGGTGCAATCGGGGGACCCTGGGGCGAACGAGCCCGTGGATTTTTCGATAAATTTCGTTCTCGATCTCTGGAACGGCACGAGGAAAAAAAAAAACGCCATCCAACCAGTTCGCACTTGACACGAGCGCCTGTCTCTCTTTCTGTGTATCGTACATGTGAGTGTGTGCAATGCGCGCTTTCGTAAGCGAGGGGGACAGTCCTCCCCCCTCCGACTCGAATAACGTGGCTCCGGCTGATGATGGCTTTCTGTGAGTTCGCGCTTGTGTGCTCGGACGCGAGAATAATATCAGAGTGAACGACCGTCGCTGCGGAGGAATTTGCCGGGGCACACACTGCACGGCTGCTTAATTTTTTATTCTTTTTTTTTTTTTTCACGCTGATACGCGCGTGTGGATAAATTGATTTGGAGCTCGGACAAACAAGAAAAAACAACGAGGGCTTTCAGCGAGTACATGTATACGTAGCGTTGGAAAGGAGGTGTTTCTTTTTTTCGCCGCTTTTTCGAGGATATACATATATACTCACCGGAACCGTAGTACTCCTTGCAGTAGCGCATCGCCGCCCGCTGGACGATCGAGTAGTACAGGTTCACGTAGGAGGTGGACTGGTTTTGTGCCGAGAGCGCCATTTATGCTGATTTTTTCGTTACTTTCCTTTTAAATGGCAAATACGATTATTATTATTTACAATAATAATAATAATGATAACAAGAACAACACACAGGCCCCGACGCTTTATACTGCCGTTGTAGTTATCTGTCGCACTGTGTATTTTTCTTCTTCTTTCTTGTACTCGCGAACTTGTTTTCCGCGTTTTTGTTCCGATACACTGTATCTTTGTCCGGATCACGAGACGCCGACCATCAGAGAAACACTCGACGATGGTGCCCACCCGTTCCTTCGATCTCACCTCACCACTTGTTTTTCGTTACTTCTTGCAACAACGATTATTATTATTATTATTATTATTATAACAATAACAACAAAAACAACGGTAACAACAATCGCTCCAACAGCAGCGTTAATCACGATAATTCGCCGTGCGATTTAATTCGCAGGGGACCGGGGGGTGAGGAGGGGGAGGCGAGTATGCGTGTGTCTGGGCGCGCGCGCACGTCTCCCTCTCACGGCTTTTCAGCTCTTCCCTTTGATGACTGCGGATGCGTTGCATGTGCACGCGTACATTACAGGTACACACACATATAAACGATGGTACACCGACGTCACACATACACACACGCGCGCACACACAATTTTCTTCCTTCCTCCCTCCTGTGAATGGCACGCGCGTGCTGCTGTATATTTCGCTATACCTGAACTTCAAAACGTGCGCTCTTGAAATTCGCCGGTACCATGCGCGTATGTGTACGTGAACTTGCACGCACGCGGGAGCGCGCGCTTTTCCGAATTTCAGTAGTAACGGTAGGACTGTGGTCGGCCGTGGCCCTTTTTTTTTTATTTGCACGCTAGAGATTGTGGGCTTTGGCTGTTGCGTAGCTGCTGATGCGCCGGTGCTGGTGACGACGGCGATGATCTATTGGCAATGGTAACGAGATCGCAATAGTGACGGGTCGAAGCGGTGGAGTACCATCCCGGCGACGACGACGACGGCCACGGCGACGGCCACGGCGAACAGGAGCCCCCGCCAGGGTTTCGCATGTCCCTCTTTTTATTTATTAATTTTATTTATTTTTTTTTTTCGTTCCTCTTCTATATTTCTCGACTCAATCGTCCTTAATGTGTTGTCTCTGTCGTTGCTGCGACTCTCGCGTTTCGGTACGGCACTTACAAGCACAGCACACGGTTGGTCCTCGATACGCGGATCGGCATGGCGACGGAGGCACACGCGCGCACAGACACACACCCACCACAGCCGGCTACACCACTGTCGTAGCCACGAGCAGCCTCATCGCGTGCCGGTTTTACCCCTTGTCTCGCGACTCGGTCGTTTACGATGTACTGGCGCGAAGAGAACACCTCCGAACCGAAATAGAAAACGAACAAAAAAACAAAAGAACAAAAAAAAACAAGAAAAAAAACCTACAGTGAGAAACAGAAATACTTTGCCCTCGCACGCGCGAACCGCGATCTTTCAGCCGAAACGGAGAAAGAGTAAAACACTCGCCAGTCGCTGCTGCCACCAATTGCGATAGGAGGTTGGATCGGTAACGGATCGATCGATCGATCGGTTTTAGTGATATTGTTGATTAATCGTATAGGTGTGGTGCACAAAACGTGGTAAACGACGACGACGACGATGAAGATAAACAGCACACGGGAGCGCGCGCGGAGGAGGCGCGAGGAGCGCGCCGGCAAGGACGCAACAACGGCACACGCTCTATCTTGGTTTGGCTCTGCTCGACGGCGGCGTTGGCAGCGCGACACAGCGCGGGTAGAGTAGTAGCCCGAGACGACGGCGGCGACGCCAGCACTACTGAGAGAGACAGAGGCGGGCCTTCGGAGCACCGACGACGACGGCGTGCACGCTACAACATACACCACCGTATACGTATAAATATTCTATCTCTCTCTCTCTCTCTCTCTCTCTCTCTCTATCCGGTGGTGGCTGCTGGGCACGGAGGTATATCGGTGGATGTGATGTGGCTGTATACACACGTACGAAAGAGCGCGATTGTGCCGGTGTGTGGTGATGCTGATGGCTGGTGGTATTGCTCTCCTCGTCGGGCCTCTGCACCACCGCTGCTCCCAAGAGCCAAGACCGAGACGGCGACGTTGCCACGCTTACGCGCACACTACTGGGCGCGAGAGAGAGAGGGAGCATGACAGATTATGCCAGCTCTCTCTCTCTCCCTCTCTATCTCGAAGCCAATCCAGTTCAGAAATACATCCCCCACCGCTGCTGCTATGCACACGAGAAGCAGATAAAGAGAGAAAGTTCGGATGTGTTGGCGCGTGCATGTGCCACGGTAGGAGAAAAAACATGTATTGTATGTATGCGCCGTCTACCAGCCGCGCCAGACCGTCGTCACAACGAAGGAGGAGAAGCAGAACGAGGAGAAGAGGAGGAGAGATTCGTAGCTGCGGCCCGTACGAATACACGCTTCGAAGGATGTGTAGGGGGAGAGAAAAGAGTTGGGCTCGGCCGGGGTAAAAAAGTAGTTACGCGTCGAACCCACGGCGCGCTGCTGGTAGTGGTAGAATAAAGGGAGCGGGGGGGGGGAGAGCGGCAGCAGCGCCGCGGATGGGTCGTCGCGAAAGAACGGGGGTAGGGGGATGGGCGAGCGCGGGAGGGAGGCGCCCCTGAAAGTGCGCCAGTCCACGGACACATACATATACACAGAGAGAGAGAGGAGAGGGGGGGGGGATAAAAAAGAGACTCGCTCGCGAAAGAGTTGAACGAAAGAGTGGGGCTCAGCCCCCCCTCTCCTCTCTCTCCACTGCCAGTTGGGACAACCGCGTGTGCGGCACTGGGGGGAGCCGCCGCCACCCCACCCATCGGCCGCTCTTTCGGTCTCTGTCCTTCTACGCCGATGCATCGCGATTACGGAGCCAGCGGGAGCGAGACGGGACGAAAGAACCTACACTGCCGGGTAAAAAAGCAGAGGCAAAAGGGGAGGGGAGGTGGTATACTATGCTGCACTACGACGACGACGATGGTTCGTGGTGGTGGTGGCGGCGACGAGGCCTCTCCCAAATCAATATTACTCGTTTAAAAAAAGCACCACCTGTAATCACGCACTCGTCTCGCGAGTCCCGAGACTCTTTTTAAAGACCACAACGACTACTACCCCGACCATCTTTTTCGTTTTTTATGTCTTACTTTGCTCCTTGGCTTACTCGGAGCTCCCCTTACTCCTGTGGTAGCTTCTTTTTCTGGGGACTGGATTTTTTTTTTTTTTTTCGTCTTCGCACCGACGTGACGCAACGACCTGCTGACCGGACAGTTTTTAAGTTTTGAGGGTGATGGAGCGAGGCGGCAAAGAAGTTGGAGCAAAGTATTCGATGTATAGGTTGTACGACGATAACGAACAAAGTCGATGGAAATGTTGAGATTTAGTTTAGAGCAAGAATTGGTTTTGGAACAGGTGTTTTTCTGTATGATCTTTTGAATCTGCGTTTTATCGAATCAAAACTTTAGATTTTTTATGAGAACAGACTCTGGTAAATTTGAAAGGTGAGACGAGGACGATATCACCTCTATACCGTATTTCAACGACGATACACAAAAGCAGTTTTCGAATTTCTGTGTACCTATATATACATATATCTAACTGTGCTACCTGACGACAATTTTTATTAATTAATTAATAAGCAATTGTTTAATATAATTGTGATTTTGCTAAGTAATATGATATTAATGCAGTAGCACTGACAACGTTTTTAATGTTTAATAATTGTCGAGTGATATTAAATTCGAAGTGATGCCACGCATAAATGGACCATGTTAAAACAATTTGAGCCAGAAATCTTATTAAAAATTTGTAGCACAGAGCGGCTAGTGCAATTTGCTGGTAAAAGATACAATTTCTTTGAAAAAATGCTATAGGCAAATTTTTAAGTAGTAGTTCCAGCTGATATGGTCAGACATGAAAGTTTTATTTTGAAGTAGTAGTAACGGCTGATGAAGTCAGACACACTTAACTTGTCATTTTTATAGTTCAAGCTACAGCTGATATAACCATACAAATATTCATATTTTTATAAATTTAGGTACGACAGATAAGAAACGAAAACGTTTTATTTAACAATCTGTTGCCAAAACTTATATAAGCAGTAAAATACATGAAATAATTATTTTTGTTTGCATAGTATCAATGGTAGTAGTCACAGCTTGTATGGTCAGACATAAAAATTATACGCATGGCTCGTTTTAAAATAGTAGTCACTGCAAACATGGTGAGACACATATAATTGTTTTTGTTTTCAAAGTAGTCAAAAGTAGTCATACTAGTAGTCTTACAGCTAATGTGGTCAAACTTAGAAAATCAATATACCTTGGAGTTTATTTCAAGGTGTCGGTTACTGCATGTATGCTAAGACATAGAGTAATTGCTTTTATTTTTAAAGTGCCTATTAAAAGTGGTAATTACAGCTGATATGGTCTGACGTGACATTTTTTAATATATATATACTAGGGTTCTTTTTTTATCATAGTAGTAACTACAAACATGGTAAGGCGTAAGTAATAGATTCGTTCGAGGCTTCAGCTCGGAGGACCTCTGGGGCCTCCAACACTATAAAGCTTTACATTAGAATGTATAACTGTACAGCTCATCCGAGCTAGAGCCTCGAATCAATTTATTTATTTAATTTTGTAAATTAGTATTAGTAGTAGTAACAGTCGATATGGTCAGACATACAAATTATTACACGCATGGCTCTTTTTGAAGTAGTAGTCACTGCAAACATGGTAAGACATCCACAACAACTGTCTTTGTTTGCAAAGTAGTCATACTAGGAGTCCCACAGCTACTTAATATGGTCAGACTTAGAAAATTAATATACCTTGGAGTTTATTTCAAGGTGTCAGTTACTGCAAATATGGTGAGACATAGAGTAATTTGTTTTTCTTTCAAAGTGCCTATTAACAGTGGTAATTCCAGCTGATATGGTCAGACATAAAATTTTTTTTTTAATATAAACTATGGTTTTTTTTTTTACTACAGTTGTAAATGTAAACATGGTAACACATACATAATGTATTTGTTCGAGGCTCTGAGGCCTTCAACACTATAAAGCTTTACATTAGAATGTATAACTGTACAGCACATCCAAGCTAAAGCCTCGAATTAAATATTTAATTTTTTTTTGCAAATTAGTAATAGTAGTAGTAACAGTCGATATGGTCAGACATAAAAATTATTACACGCATGGCTCTTTTTGAAGTAGTAGTCACTGCAAACACAGTAAGATACATATAATAATTGTTTTTGTTTGCAAAGAAGTAATACTAGTAGTCTTACAACTAATGTGGTCAGACTTATAAAGTTAATATACTTTGGAGTTTATTACAAGGTGTCTGTTACTGTGTATATTGTAAGACATACAGCAATTGATTTTATTTTTGAAGTGCCTATCAAAAGTAGTAATTACAGTTGATATGGCCAGACATAACTTTTTTTAACATACATTATGGTTTTTTAACTATAGTAGTAACTGCAAACATGGTAAGACGTACATAATTGTTTTGTTTGCAAATTAGTAGTAATAGTAGTAACAGTTTATTAGGTCAGACAAAATTATTATACTTTATGATTTTTATCAAAGCAGTAATATCTGCACACATGGTAAGACACATAGAATTTCCACATGTTTGTTGAGTTGTTATTATAGTAGTCACAACCAATATGGTCAGACATTAAAAGTCATTTGTGATAGGCTGAGATTAATTCTAAGTTAGTGTGAACATAAAAAATGGTTTTTGCTCACAAAGTAATAGCAGTTACAGTTGTTATTGCACGAAATTAATAATCGTTTGCAATTTTTTTCGTTTTTTTAAAAATAAGTAGTAATGGTCGAAATAGTCAGGCACACAAAAATGTAATACATAACGAATCAATACATGACTGATGAATTAAGATATAAAAATTAGTTTAAAAAAAAGGCCATAGGGCCGTCATCAACTGAAAAAAAAAAAAAAAAAAAAAAAAAACAAGTTAATATAAAACACCGAGTTCCGCTCATCCAAGTGAAACCATCAAAGACCACTTGATGGTCGATGATCTCGCGCCATCGATTCCCTAACCCCTCGGGGAAAAAAAAAAATATCCCCCACGGTCAATGATCGGATAAAGGAGCATCGACGGCATCCCTCCACCCATTTAAACCAAGGCAGCAACACATCGCTTCCCAAATTGTTCCCATGCACAGAGAGAGAGAAAGAGCATCAAAACATCCTCATCCCAGCGAATCAGCTAATAAAAGGCATCGTAAAATGACCGTATACACCCACACACAAGCTGCAATGACGCTTTCTTTCTCTGTCGCTTCGGCGATAAATAAAATCCGGGAATGGTTGGGAGGAGCTTTTTGCCTGCGGCCTCGAATTCAGAATTGTTTTTTTTTTTTCGAATTGACGCGCACACCGGCACCAGCAGCAACACTAGAGAGGAGCAACAAGTGGTCGGGCGTCATCGTGCGGCAGAATGACTTCCCGCCTACCCTGCCTATAGGTACCTCACCGCGTGGCGGTGCACTACCACCACCATCACTCTCTCTCACCGCTTGAGCGTATACACTTACACTGCACGCGCGCGCGCTCTCCTTGTCTCGCTCGCATAGAAATTTTTGTTGATTTTGCGATTCAAATGAAAGTGCCGCTCACGCGGAGGAGGGGGCGACAAAGGCCGTCCTCTCGTGTGCGCCCTTGACTCGTTTCCAAAAGGGTCTCTGTGAATTGTTGGCTCATCGTGATGCTACTGTTTTCCACACCCCCCACCCCTTGCTCACTCTACTCTCTATTTTGCACGGGTTTTAATTTCATTTGAGAAAACACGGTCTCGACGG